GAGATGGAAGCTCCCAGCCTCTCCTTTTTTTCTTTTTTATTCTGGGATTTATTTACCTTCTATAATTGAAACTTTGTAGCCTTGAGAGGAGCTCAGAGCCAGCCAGGGCAGGTGGGAGGGAAGCTTGGCTTCCTCCATCACCAGGGGCAACCAAGCCTCCTGCTGGCTCCAGCTCCGTGGCTGCTGCCAGCTGAAAGCAGGTATCTGGGGTTTATTTATCTTCTATAATTGAAACTTTGTTGCTTTGAGTGGAGCTCAGAGCCGGGGCCATGGCAGGCGGGAAGCTTGGCTTCCTCCATCATTGGGGCAACCAAGCCTCCTGCTTGCTGCCGGCTGCCATCTTGGTTGGGTTAATTTGCATATAGTCACTCTGATTGGCTGATGGGCGTGGCTTAAGGCATAGCAAAGGTATGGTCAATTTGCATGTTTGTCTTTTATTAGTGTAGATGCCATTCAATATGAGAGAGAAACCCTTTCTAAGATGGATTTTATTTAGGAGCCTAACAAATGAGACAGTTTGTAAAGACACTGTTGCTGGTAGTAACAGACTGATGAAGGAGTGTCCTATTGTACCCCAATGTGGAAAACTTCTTGCCCTGAGCAGTGGAGAGAAGACCATTCCATTTCTTTACTAAAGTTACAGCCTTCACTTTAGGGAAAGCTAACCCACACTGAAATGCAGAAACATCACCATTTTACTCCATTTTCCATTTCTACACTATGGGGAGAATAAAAGCAGGGAGTGAGTGTGAGTGTGTGTGTGTGTGTGTGTGTGTGTGCGCGCGCGCGTGCTAGCAAGGCAAATTAAGTCCATGACTTGCGCTCTCTAAGCATGGTTCACAAAAGAGACCAAATGGAAACAGGACAGCAATTGCTGAGAGTGAGACAGCTGAGAGCGCGTTAGTTGCCAAGCCCTGAGAATGGCCAAGAAGAGCTTCAACTTGCAAACAAACCAAGTGTCCAGACAAAATAATGGAGGTGGACATGTACGTGGGAATAACAATGAACTGGAGGGGACCTTAACTATCTTTTGTCCCAACCCCATTTCATAAATAAAGGCATTTAAAACCTAGTGGATGCCTTCATTCAATTTTCTCTCATCAGACGTTACGTTCTTTAAAAATTCCTTTAAATCTTTGCAATTTCTAAGTTTACCAGTGTGTAACTAGCCATTGTATCTATGAGCTACTTTTGGTGATTATGGCATGGAAATTTCATGGGTACAAACCAAGGAAAGGATATTTGAGCCAACCACCTCTTGGAAAGTCCAATGTTGGCACGTTCACAAAACATGCCAGAGGCACCTGGATAAATATCAGGCTTCAACTTTTCAATTAATAAAAATTACTGCAGTTACATTTAATATATAAAGTGAAAAATATTACAGTGATATACAAATACTCAATAAATGGATACTTTGTTAGTATAGTGAAGAGGTCCCCACTGCCACATAAACAGATAGGGAGAAAAAAGGAAATGAAATTTAAAATCTAGCAGTGGGGAACAATAGTGGGGAAACAGACTTCTTTACATGATGTTTGCATGATCAAAATAAGCTACATGTTACACCTACAAGGAGACCAATGGAATATACCCAACAAATGGATACAAATATAATCAGAAATGTCCTATAAAGTGCCTTTATTAGCAGCCACACAGAAGAAATTAAATTGGAGCATAACACCTCTGGTTACAGTCCAAATGAATTAAACGTTTAATGTAAAAAGATGAAACTGTAAAGATACTAAATGAAAAAAAAGAAAAAGGAAAATTCCTTAAGTTCTGGTATGAGAAAGAACATTCTACCCATGAATCAAAATCC